AGGAGCGGAACAGGCAGATAGATGAAGTACACTGCTGAGGGGAACAGTGGGCGGGTCAGCAGAGCTGTGCCACGCCATGTGGGTCACCTCCCGGGGTGGGGATCGAACTCATGCTGAAGTGGCTTTAGCTTCTTAGTGCTGCATTAACCCACTGTGCCACCAGGGAGAGCCAACATTGTGTGATTTCTATATGTTGTAATTAACTGCATGTAGTCCAGCTTGGTGAAAGAGTAACATACAGATGTTGAGATGACATGTTAGCATGTCATGGTGATATCTGGAGAGCAGTATTCCAGGTGAGATGTTCAGGAGTAGAAATCCTCTGAGGTGATGTGGTGCCTTTTTTTAAAAGTAATATAATAGTTTATTTTTACACCATTTTGTGCCTTTTCCCATCTCAGTTGTAATCCCCGTGGGCCTCCCATCACCAAATCACCCATGTGCCATCTCCATAATCCAGTGCACTTCCAATGCACGTGCTGCGGGCCTCTGCCTGGACAGGAAGGGTGAGGGGGATGCACAATGGCCATGAAGCTGAGTGATATCAGGGAGGAAATGTGGAGGTCAGTCAAGTTCTTGGTAAATGGCACCTATCAGGTGGGAGATTATAGAGAGACATGTATTTTAAGGAATTGTCTTGTGATTATGGAGGTTGCTCGGTCAAAATCTGCAGAGGAGGCAAGCGGGGATGAGGCTGAGCCAACCACCTAGACCAGAGACAGAGGAGCACCCATTAGATGGGTGGGGGGTGCAGTGGTGGTTCTTCCCTAGCTGGCACAAGCCACCCCAGGAGCACCCAGCCCTGTCCATTTTTTTTTTCCTCCAACAGATAAAAAGGTCCCAGACATCCAGGTCCCTCAGGCTCTGAGGAACTATCTATGGGGTTCTCTTCAGTCTCACCTCACAAGGATCTCTAGGAAATTCTCCAGGGTTTGACAATGAGGGACAGATAAAAATGGAGACAGAGGCTAGGCTTCTGCACCCAGCTCAGATCTTGGCAGAACACTGCTCCTCCCCCTGCAGAGATCCACGGAGCCAGCAGCTCAGAGCACCCGGTGCTGACCTGCTGGTCCCATCATGGGGATCTCATCTAACTCAGTCCTGGGGCTGAAGCAGAGCACCTAATGGCTATGGAAGCGGCTCCACTTCCAGGGTGGAAGCCCCCATCAGAGGCTCCTTAATTCACTGTCTAGTCCCCACAGTAGCAGACGTCTCAGAGGAGGACAGTGAACTACCGCCAGCCCACACAAGGGCCGCCTGATCGTGAGCATCCGCCAGATGCGGCCTCTTCGCCCTATGGCCCTAGTACATGGTCAGTACCACTGAGCTGATGAGCACATTCCTCCCGACTCAGGCATGTGCAAGGGTCAGAAGCAGCATGTGTGCCCACTGACTGGGAAGGGGGACACGATGGATTTCCAACAGGCTCTTGAATTCTTTCATAGTAGCTGATAATATACCAATAATCTGGAACCCCACAGAACACTGTGCAGGTCCACTATAAAAATAGCATGGTGATTAGGACAGACAACCCCAGTGTTATTAGGAAGCTTGGTCTTACCAAGCTTCTTACATGCACTTCTGGGGTCAATACTATACAGCCAGTACTTCTGACCAGTACCACAGAGATGCAGGAGGCCCTCCACATCAGGGCTTCTTGGAAGGATCCAGTGATCCGGGGGCAGGATCAGAATGTCGTGGATGCCAAGAACATCTCCTGTAACTGCTGACATGGCCTTTCCCTCCACTTGGCATCAGGCATCAGGTGTCAGGTGGCCCAGCTCACTATGAACGTGCAGGCCGAAAGCAGATAATGTGTACATTGCAGTTCACCAGTTTCACATGAGAGGTAGACCTGTAGTTTAAGCTTGCTTTGGGGATGGCCTTGCCTAGGGAAACTGCTTCACCAAGATCATGCTTCCTTTCAGGGACACCCCACCCAGTGATCAACGGTAAAGATATTCTCTATCGAGAGCTCACAGTAGGGTCAGCTGAGACCTTTATGGAGACATTGGGACATTGTCACATCCCAACTTCTCCCTCTGCCCAGCTCCTTCCTTCTCTCCATCCCAGAGGTGTGGATCCCAGGAGCCCTCCTCAACAGACATCCTGGTGCTGCTAATCTCAGAGTCAGCCACCCAGAGGCCCACACTGCAGTATTTCCTAATCAACACAACACAACACATGCATTCACATGCACCCGCACACGCACTGTCCAATAGATTTGATTATCCACGTTGAGGAAACCCTGGACATATTACATTACTTTATTGTTCATTGTTCATGACAGCGCTTGATTCTCGCCTCAGGGATCGTCCCTGGACGATCCCACCACCACAGCCCCGTGACCCATCCTTGTGTTCTTCCCTCCCCTGTTTTAACCCCCCCCTCCCCACCTCCCTGCTGTGTGTCTCATCTCTATGGTCAGCTTGTAAGTTTTAGCTTTTTTTCCTGTACATTGTAAAATGTTCTGTCACTTTTGAAAGACTGTGAAAAGTAGCCCCCATCTTTTAAAAGAAAGCTCTGCCCCCAGAGGCCACATGTGCTCAGTGCTGCTGCTCTTTGTGACTGCTGTACCTGGAGCATCACAGAGCAGACTCCCTGGGGGGGTCAGGTCAGAGGAGCTCTGGCAGCTCCCTCCGCCCAGCAGGACCCAGAGGAGCCCAGGAGAGTAGAGCTCAAGCCCTGGAGAAGCTGACAAGGTTTCTGCCAAGAGAGTTCTGGCCAGAGAAAGCCTGGCTTCCCTGCCTTCTGCAATTGAGGACAGAAGAGACCAGATCACACTGACGGGGAGGAAAGCAGAGAAAGCCCTCTGTGCCTCTGGAGTCTGGAGCTACCTGCCCTCTTCTGTCTCCTCTCAACCTCTTTTGACTGAAGTCCAAAGTCAGCTTTGGCTGCTATGTGGACTCAACCAACTTGGAGAAGTAGTGCAGGAAGGAGAACAGGGTTTTTGAAGGGGAAAGGGGAGAGGGCTACAGGGGTGAACTGCCACAGCAGGGGGTCCTGCCCTTCCACCTCAGTCAGGTGCTCACTTCCGTCCTGGCCACTGCAGAAGTCACAGGGACAGCGTGGACCGACGGCGGGTGTCAGTGTAATAGTTAAGTCTAACGTGGTGTGACGACCTGTGGGTGCTGAGCCAGGGTGAGTGTCTCCCACGCTTTCTAAGGAAGCGGGTCCCTAATTAGTAGATGAGGAGCTTAGCAGTAAAAGCTAAGCTAAGTTTTTCTTTCAGACATATCCCAAGCTTTAGATTGGCATTCCTCAAAATGCTCTTCATTCCCCAGCTCCTCTGCGCCCATGAGACTCGGGGTCGCCAACCTTGATCATGTCTGATCTCTTCATCTCACACTGCCCTTCACAATAACTTATTTTCCCTCAGGTATGTTTTACAAATTGTGCTCATTTGTATTTTATTAGCTCTTTCGAATCTAAGATCACGCGCTGAGTGGGGAGTGGAGGCAGAGCTGTGCCTGCTGCCTAGCACAGGACACTGGCCGCCACACTCAAGTCCGCACACTCATCCCGGTCCACCCAGAGCCAGACCCCATTTTGTCCGGTCAGTCATGCATATTAGCATTTGCACAATATGGAAAATATTGTCTCTTCAATATGGAAAATAGCAGGTATCCCATTAGAACAACATGAGTCTGTTCTTGGAGATCAAGAAAATGTAGGGAGAAAAACATGCAGTGTGTGTGTTACATTTGTGTACACATTTGTGTGTGTGTTTACATGTTTGTGTGTTAAAGCAGATTGTCAAATTGGAAAACCATAGATCCTATACACAGTTGTTTCAGAGACACTTTTATAGTTTTATAAAAGGGGAAGAATATACATGTGGAGAAATTTTGAAATCAGAAATTGTCCTGACTTTGAGCTGTGTTACTCTACTTATTGGGGTGTTTAGAAAAGTATATGTTGCTTCATTGGAAAGTAATATAGGAATAAAGGAAATAATGCATAGCTGTCTAGGTTCTTATAAGGTAAACAAAGAACTTGCATGCAAGGTAAGGATTTGATCACTGACTAACTCTCAACATATGGACAATACTCACCTTAAAAATCATTGTCAAATCACATACATTAAATTTTACCAATAATGTAATGGAGTGTGAAAACTAAGTTTATTGCAAATGTTAGATTTGTTACCTCTGAGCACAGATACAAATACCTAGTTAAGAAAACTGTCAACTGACAATGATGATGCCAGGGAGGGGGAAGGTGGTGGTATCAAATGTTTGTTCTGTTCCTGGGCCACTTCTACATGCCCTAATCATTGTATCATGAACACCTCATCAAAATTGTATGGGGTAAATATTAACAAACCATCATTACAAAAAAAAAGGAAAGCAGGAAAGAATGCTTAATAACTCACCTGAGGTAAGCCATCTAAAAAGCAGATATTTACATTTTGTATAAGTGAATGAGTAAGTAAATGTTCACTCCTGAAGTTCTATTTAATTGCCCACCTAATATGCCCATTATCAAGGTGAATGAATACATTGCGTTGTAGAGATGAGGACATTTCAATCCAGGTCATTCATGAGGCAAAGGCCTAGAGGACCTTTAAGGAAACAGTGTGTGCTTTATGCATATAAGAAACAGTCAACCAGTACACAGAGAAATCTACCCCCCCAAAATTGTATATGTAGAGAAAAGTGAGATATCTGCACAGTTTATTAAAATACATGAAAAAATATTTTATGAAGAATATGTGTTCAAGAGATTAATCATTTTTAAGAATATGAAACTGAATAGTGAAATTAGCTCTCTTTCAGAAAGAGCACTCTTCTTCCGAGTTCCTACCATCCTCACAAGGAGGCTGTGAGGTTTTAGATGAAAGGAAGGTCAGCCTCAAGGGCTGTGGAACTGCCAAGCTGCCCATGTAGAGTGAGTCGTGACCTGTGGTACAAAGTGAAGCAAAAGGAAGCATAGACATGTTGGCTTGTTTGCAATTGTGTGTTGAATGGTAGAACCTTCTCCGTTTTAGCTGCATGACCATGGAAAAAATCAACCAAACCAGCAGTGTCTCTGAGTTCATCCTCTTGGGACTCTCCGCCAGGCCCGAGGACCAGAAGCCCCTCTTTATTCTCTTCCTCACCATGTACCTGGTCACCATAACAGGGAACCTGCTCATCATCCTGGCCATCCATACTGATCCCCAGCTGCAGACCCCCATGTATTTCTTCTTGAGTGTCCTGTCTTTTACTGACCTTTGCTTCACCACAACCATCGTCCCCAAGATGCTAGTCAACTTCCTGTCAGAGGTGAAGACCATCTCCTACGCTGGGTGTCTGACACAGATGTATTTTTTTTATGCTCTGGGTAACACTGACAGCTGCCTTCTGGCAGTCATGGCCTTTGACCGCTATGTGGCCATCTGCGACCCCTTCCACTACGTCACCACCATGAGCCACCGCCGCTGTGTCCTGTTGGTGGCCTTCTCCTGCTCGTTTTCTGCCCTCCACTCACTCCTCCACACAGTTCTGCTCAATCTTCTCAACTTCTGTGGCTCCAATGTGATCCACCACTTCCTCTGTGATATAAACCCTCTGCTGAAGTTGTCCTGCTCCTCCACATTTGTCAATGAAATTGCGATCATGATTGAAGGCCCCGTGGCTTTGGTGACCCCCTTTCTCTGCATTGTGTTCTCTTACATGCACATCCTCGTTGCGGTTCTCAAGATGCCTTCAGCTACTGGGATATGCAAAGCCTTCTCCACCTGTGGTTCCCACTTGACGGTGGTGGTCCTGTTTTATGGCAGCATCTTCTATGAATATTTACAGCCCTTGTCCAACTACTCTGTTAAAACCCGTGTGGCTACGATTGTCTACACAGTTCTGTCCTCCATGCTAAACCCCTTTATCTACAGCCTGAGAAACAAAGACATGAAAAGAGGTCTGGGGAAGCTGATGGGCAAGAGGAAATCCTAGCCAACCTCTCTGTGCATATTCATGGGGGTCTCTGCTCCCCTGGGCCTGGTTTCTGTTTGTTCCTCATACACAATCTAAACTCTGGTAAGTCAACTTACACACGTAACTCATGTGTCACCGATGTTGACAATAACCACGTCTTTCCATGTGCAATGTCCAATCACTGAGACCTTATTAGGATTTAATAATTAGCTCAAGAGCTACAGGACATCCCATATTCATACATTTCCCCCATCTTTTTCTTCTTTAAGGAACCACATAGTTTTCATTTCCTCTCCGTGCTGCTGAAAGCTTCATTTTCCACACAAATTCCTGAAATAAATTCATATCTGTTCAAAGACTTGCAATTCTCTTGGCTTCCTTCTTATATATTAATGAATTCCTGTCATCAGTTTTCCTAGAATTTTGAAAGTCATTACAATGACTTCAGAAAATAGATAGAGAGATGGAGATACCCATAAATTTGGAATCTCCACCAAAGCAAGAAATTGTCTGGTCCTCTAGTTCATGATGAATCACACCTCTGGTGCCCACCATAATTTTGACAGAAGAATATTCTGGATTCTACAGTATGACTCCTAGCCCTAATTAACCAAAATGGCTGAGTATTTCAGTGCGCAATGGCCTGATGACCAGGATGGGGTGCAGGGAATCTGAGTTAACTTGAGTCCCTGTACTGAGCTCATCTTGTATTTATCCCTCCAAGACTCTCACCTGGGTCTCCTCTCACCAGAGATCCCCCCTTCTATATTCCCACATTCCATTATCACCATGATTCTAAATATCCCTCATTTCTGTATTTTATAACTCATTGCTGTATGTTCTTAGAATTATGCTCAGTGTCTTTTGAAGAGAGAATTAAAACCCATGTGTGATTTTGAAGGCAGGCAACCAGGTGTTTTCAGAACCAGATAGAGCATATTGGGTTGTTCTGGGAAGAGTTTAGGGTGGCAGGCAAGGACAGTTCTGTTTGCTTTTGCTTTCATCTTTTATTCTCCGTGGTTCTTTCAGAAATATTGACCTTATTGTATTTTGTAGGGTAATATTTCGATCATTTGCTATTCTCCTGTCTCATTCACAGAGATACTAATATTAATGCTCATGCAGAGCCTGTGAATCTGCATTTTAATAGCACCTCCAGAGAACACCTGACCTTTATGTGAGAAAGTGCACGTTTTACTAATTTGAGGGATATATGCACTTCTATGTTCACCACAGTCAGTTACAATAGTGGGATTGTGGAAATAAGCTAATAGCAATAGATGAGAAATATGTGCTCTATTTGTACAGTGGAATATTATGGGAAGTGTAAATCAAAGGCACTGTGTGATTGAACAGTGGGAGAAAGGCTAGAGTTAAAAAGACAATACAAAAGTTTTGGTAGAATTTAGAGCAACTGAAACTCTCATGTGGATGTTGGGAATGTAAAATGTGAGCACTTTGAAAAACAGTTTTGATGACTCCTAACAAAATTAACATACACATAATCTATTTCTATTTTTTTAAAAGTATGTGCAAAATTTTCATAGCAGCTGTATTTATAATAGGTCCAACTAAACACAACTCAAATATCCTTTTAACTCCACTGAATATGCGTTGCGTCTGAGGAGAGAACTTGGTGTGACACTCTTACAAATCAATGAGTTTCACTCTAGAACTATCTTTTATGATGGTAAGAGGTCTTAAGGTTACCTGTAGTGAATGCACCTGCTAAGCCCATGTACTTACTGTCAATCCTTGAGGAACACAAAACTGTTTTGGTACATGCCACGTATTTATTTGAATAAGTCTGTGGTCACATTACATCTGCCCAGAGACTCAGAGGGACTGAGGAGTTGAGAGTTTAAATGTATTACATAGAGGTTATTTTCCTGACACACCACTGCATCTAAATGGTCACTAGAGGGAGTCCTCTTCCTCTGGACTCAAGAAACGGTGACCAAACACACTCCCTTCTTGGGAGGGAATAACGGCCTTGTGGGGGACAGTAACTGCTGGTCCAGTTGAAGGGCAGTGGGGCAGATGTACTGCAGGCTCAGACAGGAGGATATTTTTTTGCGGGAACACTCTGACCAGTGAGAAAATATGTTAAGATGTGGCTGGTAAGCATGGGGTCTAAGATGTGCCCCCGGAGCCACTGGGGATGTGATGGTAGAGTTGGAACAGGTTAAGGGTCAACTTTGATTATCCCTATGGGAGACAGATAGGAAGTGCTTTACAAAGATACCTGAACCCTGAGATAACAGGGCCTTCATGAGCCCTCCTTAGTGGTGCAACAGGTTAAAGTGCAGCACTGTGAAGCTATCCATAGTCACTGCAGCATCAGTTCGACCCCTGGCCAGGGAGCTGACCCGCATGGCACAGCAGACCTCTTCTGACCCATCCGCCACTCCCCTCAGCAGTGTATCTCAGTAGATCTGCCTGTTCTGTTCCCCCCTCTGTCTCTGGTGAATCCTCTCACCCCCGCACCTCTGTCCTGCACCCCAGTTCTTGTATGCATAAATAAATATTTTTTTAAAATTAGAAATCTGGATGGTGACATACAATTATACTCCCAGACCAAATGGAACCTAGAGTTTCTGAGCAATGACCTTTTACTAAATCCACCAGTAATGGAAAATGTGATAATGTTATATGAGCAGATGATATTTTTGCTAGGAAGATTAGCACATTGATAGGGTGATAATAACTGATATGGACATGTTAAACATTATTTAATCTCTCTGCCACAGCTAGATGACTTTTAGGCTGAATTATTGACAAATGTCAGTGAACCATAGCAATCAAATGGCTGTCAGCTATAAAAGCTATTTTGGGAGATTAAACTTAACTTCCAATTACATAATACCCAGAATATCCACACATTATTGATCAGAGAAAGAAGTGAATTCAGCTTTAGAAAGTTATACATACAACTTAATGTCTCTCATAACGTTCATTAAAAAATTCAAGTGGAATGGTGAGCATGGTGAGGGCAGGGAAGGGAGCCCAGTGGGCTGGAGTAGAGGAAGATGGCAGTGTTGGTGGTGGCTGTCATATGGCGACATCCATCTGAAGCGGTGGAGTCCTATCCTCAGAGTCATACACAGTATTGTAAACCAATGTTACTTCAAATTAAAAAATTAAAATTAAATTTTAAAAGATGGAAGTGATAATGGGAAAATGAGGGACCAAAACAGTTTAATTCAATCTTTTGAGGGAGTGCAGTCATAGTTTGATATAATTAGAAAGGACTGGCCCTCCCTGGTGGCGCAGTGGGTTAAAGCACAGCACTGAGAAGCTAAAGCCACTTCCGCATGAGTTCGATTCCCGCCTGCCCCGGAGGTGACCACATGGCGTGGCAGACCTCTCCTGCCCGCCCGCTGCTCCCCTCAGCAGTGTACTTTGTTGATCTGCCTGTTCTGCTCCCCACTCTGTCTCTGGTGAATCCTCTCACCCTCCGCATCTCTGGCCTGTATACCCCAGTTCTATATGAATAAATAAATAAATCTTAAAAGAAAGAAAGAAAGAAAGGACTACCAGCTCTTAACTGGATGGCACAGTTCTACTGTGCAAAGTGTTAAAAATGTCTATTTTTATACCTCAAATATTATCAAACTTACTGCATTAAGAATTACTTTTTAAATACCTAAGGAAGGAACTGTTGACAATGGTCAGGTAATCTAGGAGGAAAGACTAGAATAATTTGTTCATTCTCTACAAAACTTGGGAATTTGATTCTTGATTCCCCATTTTGCAACAATAACTCAAAGAATGCAGCTGTATGCCATAGCCAAGATGAAATAGGGCCCTGCTGTCTAATGAACCTACAAGCTACACCTGTTTGTCAAGATTGCTTACTGGGTAACCTATTAAAAATACACCTGTCACATGATACAACAATTTCAGTCCTTGATATTTATCCAAAGAATGCAAAATGCGAGTTCAAAGGGCTAATGCATGCCTTTGCCCACTGCAGCACTATTAGTCAAGCATAGAAACAGTCTAACCACCCAGCAACGGATGAGTAATTAGAGAAGACGTAGTACATAAACACAATGGAATACTACTCACCCATAAAAATAGAATCTTTCCATTTGCAACAACATGGATAGAACTGAAGGGCACGATGCACAGTGAGGTAAGTCAGAAGGAGAAAGACAAATACCAGAAGATTTAACTCTTGTAGATGATGGGAAAAAAACAAAGGAACAGATAACACTAAACCAAACAAAACCTAGAAGCAAATGGAAAGGGACTCAATCCCATTTGTCCTCAGAGGAATGGAAAATAAAAGCACACTTGTTGGTGAAAGGAGAATGCAAGGACTCTTCTGTATTCTCGGACAGAGCAGTGTCCAAGAAGCACACTGGGGAAAATGATCTTGCACTGCCTTCTCTGATAGAACCTTCTGACCATGGATATACACAGCAGAAAAGTATGTAAATGTGTCCACACATCTGCCAGAATGTTTATGGCAGCATTAGTCAGAATCATTAGTCAGGAGCTGAATGTCTAGTGACAACAAAATCATGAATTAAATTGAAAGACAGCCTTGCTAGAGAATATCGTAAAACAATGAAAAGGAACTAGCTAGAGTGAAACAATGCTAAATAAATAAATAAACCAAAATCTCTGAAACATAGTCTTGAGCCAAAGAGGCGGCACAGAAGACTGCATGGGAAGCGATTTTTTTTTTTTTTTTTTTTGTACAAAGATGTAACGGAACACCTAACCTCTAGTGGCAGAAGTTCAGAGAGGGGAATGTGTGGGAGGAGGGAAGCGTAGTGTCTTCTAGAGGATGTGGGAGCACAGGGCTCTGAGGTGCTGGATAAATGGGTGTTTTTTCTTTTACAACTCAGCTCTTGTGGCTTGAATAACTTTCTGTACGTGCATTGCACTTCCTTCCAATCTCTTTAAATTAATAAGTTTTGGGGAAATGATAAAGATGATTCGGCAAATGATTTGTCTCTCAGCATAAATGATTTATTGAGCAATGCAAACTTCTGCAAAGGGCCAGA